ATTTTTTATATTCTTATTTTTGTAGTTGACTGAAAGCTGGATTTTGTAGCAAAGCATCCTTCAAAGCAGGGACTAACAACCTATCCTAAGCTGCCACTTTGCTCTTGCCCTGGATGAGGAGAGGGAAGGCAATATATGCCTAGCTAATGTGTATCCACCACAGGGAAGGCAGAGTCCCAGACTTCCGGTCAGCTTCTGTCAGCCTGAACTACAGGCGCTCTCCAGACAGCACTGTCTGCAGCCAACCCCACACAGACACTGTCTCAAGGGACTCTCCACAGAGCCATTCTCTCCACAAAGACTCCACGGGGAAGCCTCTCTTGATAACTGCTGTGTGTAACACCCAAGATGAGGACACAGGGCTGGCTCCCAGGGTGGAATCACAGAAAGCCTAACCATGCTCCCTACCTTAGCCACATGCTCCTTGTGCCCAAAAAGCAGGTATTGCTCCTAGAAAAGTACCTAATTTGAAGATGTGTTAGGACGCTTGCTTGTGTTTCACCTGAATCTGAAATGGTACCCTGGATTTGAAGAGAAGTCAGCCATGTCAGCCGAGCTCTAGGACATGGGCACCGCGGGCTGCCTGTCCCTTTAAGAGTATCCCTTTCAAAAATGAAGGGGGAGAATCAGAGGCCGAGAGGAACCATGAGAGACTATGGACTCTGAAAAACAAACAGGGTTCTAGAGGGGAGGGGTGTGGGGGGATGGGTTAGCCTGGTGATGGGTATTAAAGAAGGCACGTTCTGCATGGAGCACTGGGTGTTATGCACAAACAATGAATCATGGAACACTACATCAAAAATAAATAAATAAATAGGAGGGAAAAAAAAAGAGTATCCCTTTCAGCTCCTTCCAGAATTGCCTAGGGCTTTCTCACCAGCTAAGCCTCTCTCAGCAAAGTACTGATTACCCAGGCACTAGAGGGGAAAAAAGATGAATATATTTCTTCTCAGAGATACTGTATCTAGATTTTGACATTTTATTTATCTCAACCTTTAAGCTTATCTTGCTCCAATATGGCAAAACCACCAGCTCTACCGAATCTCAAAGCTTAATCCACTGTAAAGTGGAGAAGATTCTGAGGGTTGGTGAATTGTTCTGTGTCAGATCATCCCCCTTTCCTCTCAGTTGGACTCCCTGAGTGAACAACAACACAACACAAAACAAAATCAACAACTTGCGCTAAGATTAAGGTGTAGTCAATGACAAGACCACCTGGGAGCAGAAGCTCATTAATTCAGCGCAGCTGCATCTCACCCTGTCATCCACAGCTTGCTGAGCCAGCAAGGTGCGAAGCTAGGACATCACTACATGGTCAGCTGCCTCTGGGCCTCTTTCCTGTTCTGACACCCCATGCCATTTGCCACTTGACCCCTTCTCACTGTTTGGTGGGAAAAACTTGTAAGGAATAAGGGCTCCATTGAAAAGTGCTATGTCTCTTTGTTGGACAAGAAGCCATTTCCCTTTTGCCCGATATTTTTCTGGAATAGTAATAAGCTGCTCAGAATGTCACAGTTCTTTAAAAACTCTATTTACTTCATATATTTACGATTAAAATTTTGTTTGCTTATTTGCTCAGGTACAGAAAGAGTCACCAGAAGGCAGAGGGACTCCCGAAGACAGGTAAGCAGTAAAATGATTGAAGTTTATTAACTAACATGCCCGTAAATGTATGGCCTATTATTTGCTAATCGCATGACCCTGAGCACACCATAAAAATGAAGTAAGAGGTCACAGTACTGCACGTGTGGCGCTTAATTTCATGCCTGGCACATAGTGACCGCTCAATAGAAGTTTGTTTTTATTATTGTTGTCATTATCATCATTATCACCAGCATCATTGCCATTATCATTAAACCAGAAAGGTGTTGGGTTTAAGGATTTAAAGTCTGGTTGAGGAGAGAAAATATACACGTGAGTAAAGTAAAGAAGCAACGCTTATCTCGTGTCTTTATCACAAAACTTATGTTGTATGACAGTTTGTCTGTTTACATTAGATCTATCTTATTCTGGGATCTGGCAGCTCTAGGTGGCTGCCTAAGTACCCAATCCAATACAGTTATAGAAGGCAGGTTCCATAAAAGTACATTTAACTCTCATTTGAACTGTCCACGCATCTTTGCCCCCCTCTAGACAATGAACACCTGAAAGACAGAGCTTACGTGCTCTTGATCTATGTACACACCCACATTCCCCTCCATGGACCAGAACAATCTAAGACCTACAGGAGTTAATCAATACATCTTTGTTGAATAAATGAATAAGAATATGAAATTTAAATATTCACTGGTCTGTTCAAGAACAGATGCTTACTGAGCATCATCATGGGCTAAGTCCAGTGCTCTGTGCTAGGGATGTAATGAGAATACCTAAATTCCAGCTTGTCCCCAGCGAGCCCCCAATTTTAAGCCAGGTTTCTAAAAAGAAAGTAAGAGCTGATGCAGGAGAAAACGAGCTTGGCACTAGTCTCCTTCAAGCAGGGCTAACCCAGACTCTCCCTCCCTCTTCTATATTAACACCCCAAAGAGATTCCCTAAAAACCAAACATGGGCATCGTGAACCACCCTAAAACACAAACCCTACCAAGGCAGTTATGAAGTATTCGAAATATTTTTCTTTCTCCTTCCCTCTTTTCTTTTCTAAATTATATTTTCATTAAGGCATGGGTTCGTCTATCAAAGCATTAAACTGATAGTTTTAATAGCATAGCGCACCCACAGTAGTTTTCTGCTACAAATGAGACATGTAACATAGGGCAGACACGATAAATGACTATCGTGGCTCAATCAGAAAAGTAAACATATGCAGGTATATTATATGTGTATACGTGTGTGTATGTGTATGTATGTGTATATATCCTCCACTGAAATCGATCCTAAGACTGAAGGATCAATAGATGATTCTTTCCACACTTTCCAAAGCTTAAGCCCATGGAGATTGCTCCTTCAGAAGAAAGGCCTGGTATTACTTTTGTTTGCTTATTTGCACACAAAATTTTTATTTATTTATTTATTTTAATTGTACTAACTCACCCCCCCTTCTTGAGCTGAGAAAAAAACATCCTCCCTAGGCCAGGGCATCAGTCACAGTACCCCACAAGAAGGAAAGGAGCATGGTGAACCTGACTTTCAGCAGTCTAGGGCAAGCTGTTCCTCCTGTCCCTGGGGCATGCCCTTCGCCCTGCTCGGGTTGAGACTGGGGCCGCCAACAGCCTCTGTCCCCACTGAGACAGAACTGCATATCTTTTAATTTTCTAACATGCCGACTACACTTCACACAGCAGATGCACCGCAAAGTAAAAGCTGGCTTTTACTTTCATGTATGTACATACATTAGAGCAATCTATCAAGGAAACATAAGCTTACGCAGAGTCACAGAGAGTCTGATGAAGGGGTCCTGAATTTAAACAATAAAGCAAGTGTCAGGCCCTTAATGCATTAAAGAATTGTACTTTCTGAGGCTCCTACCAAATTTCCCACACTTTAATTTAGTTACATCATTTCCTTGGGACCAAAACTCTGCATAATTGACCTTCTTGTTGGGGGAAGAGCTCAATAATCTAAACACCTCACCACAAGCACAAGAACAGGATCCTATCCTTTTCTTTGGTCTGCTGGGGTTTTCCTAAAGCACACAACAATTTATTTGGGGTTTCTTATATGGAGTGTGAAGCCTAATGGAAAACAGCCATCAGGTTAAAATGAAATTTAGCGAACAATCCTTTTGTGGGGTAGATTCCTTTAGGGTGTATAACTCATGACCCTCCTCTGTGTGACAAGGGCATTGCCCTACAACCCAATTGGTAAAGCAAGTACAGTTACCTCCCCTCCAGCCCCGTCACTGTTCACTGTAGCAGGGATGGACCCCTGACCCAAAGGGCAGATTGAACTCCTTCTCCCTAGACATTAGCCCTGCGACTGAGGCCCAGTAGCCAGTCTCTCCTGGTCATGTTAACTGACAGCGGGTGAAGTTCCCTGCTGATCCTACGTGCGGGAGAGCCGCCTGCTTGTGTCTGCCCAGAGGCAACTCCCAGCTCCCATATTCTTTGTACCACCTCTCCCCGCAACCCCCATCCTCTGTGCACAGCAGTGTATGTGCTCAGGGATGGCTGATCAGAAGTGATAGTCAACGTATTTAAGCCATCACTGTAACGACGGCACTGACCCATCAGACTCTGGGCTGGGCACCAACCCAGTGATTGCTAAATATCATCCCTGGGGTCATCTCCACCCTCTCCCCAGCTCAGGGATTATCACAAGATCCAGGCCTAAGCAACCAAGCACCTCCGGTGGCTGAGGTCGGTTTGGGTGTGGGCACATGACATGGACTGGCAAAGACCCAAGCATGATGAGACCAATAAAGCCCATGTTTACAAACAAACAGAAACAATGGAACATATAGCCCCTGAGAACAAAAGGAGCCAAGAGCTGCCTGGGTTTCTGAGGACCTTCCTGTCCCTAGTTTCAGCCTAACTGCACGTGTGTGCTGGTGTTCAATGAGTGAGTCAGATCCTCGAGGATCAATAGCATTCATCTGAAGAATTTATATTCACACAATACAGTGTGAATCCCAGACAGGAAGGCATGCACACAAGTGTGTGTGCACACGAGTGAGCTGAGGGCCAGGAAAGAAGCGGTGCTGTAGATCCTCTCTGCAAACACCCCTCCGTTCTTTTGTTTCTGCTCCAACAAGCTCACAGATCAGTGAGAACTGTGGGAACCAAAACACATAAAGGCAACCTCATAATGAACAGTTTAGCAAAAAGACCTGTGGCAAAAACAAGGGGTCTATAAAGAAGTAAGGATCTGGCCTGCCTGGGGATAAACCCCAATCCGTGACTAAAGAAAACAGAGAGCAAATAGAGGAAGCTGTGAGAACACAGAGCCAAAAATCTCCACCCCCGCGCACCCCCCCCCCCGGAAAAAAAGAGGTGGGGAAGAGCAGTCATGGGCGTCGTGTTTAAGTAACACAGTAATCATTAGCTCACTTTATCTACGTACCTCCAAAGCGAGCTCTCAGTGATGCTCCCCAGGTTATAGTCATAGAGCTTTGTCAAAATGAGAATCACCTGAAGGCAAAAGAAGACATCATGGTTAGTCTCAAACAATTACAATATCATAGAACTGAAATGGCCCAAGGGAGGACTTAGGATTCCTTTAATGGGTGCTTAACATAATTGAATGAATTGTTACAGCATCACTTAACTGACTGGGGAAGGGTTTGCCAGGGCCTTCCTTTAAACTGCTCAGGCCTGATCCCCTCCGCAACTTTCTCCCTCTGTCCTGCAGTAAGAGTTACCTGCCCATCCAGGCATTCCTTACCCTGGTGGGCTGAAGGCTTTCAGGGAAGGCTAGCAGAGCTGTCAAATATGTACCCTGCAAGGGAGCCCCTGAGCAGATGGTCGGGAGAGAGTAAGGTCAGTGATGTAGGTCCCAGCCCTAATAGCTGTACCACACTGGGCAGGTTGCTTAGCTTCTCTGAACCTCAATGTCCCCATCTATTAAGAGGGCAAGCAGTAAGGCCATCATCCAGAAAGGCTTGCTGTGAGGAGTTAAAATAGGTAATAAAGGCTAATTATTCTTCAATCTGCATGGGGTCCTTAAATGTCAGTCCCTTCCCTTTCCTCTCCTTTGCAGGGCTGGCTTTATCCGTTTCTTCTGATTCTCCAGTTTCTGGGAAAGCCACTGGATGGAATCCAGGCTTCCACAAGAGCTCAGCAAGAACATTTTAACAGGAGCATATTTATGTTTTATGGGGTCCTGAAGCTTACAGAATTGGGGGAACCCTCCATAAGCAACAGCATATACACATACAAATTCAAACTTCAGAACAGGTCCCAGGACAGTGACACTTCGGCTCCTTTAGCTTAACGGCAAACCCTTCTTGGCTTTGAAACTGCTGCTATTCTCAAAGTCACTCAGAGGAACTCCAACGATTCTGTTCTTTCAGAATTCAACACTCATTGCACACTTACTAGGAACCAGGATTTCGCCTGATGCCTGGGGAGAACGTAAATACAGATGGGGCCTGTAGTCTGTGATCCAGTTAGGACAGGAGGAGCTCATCAAAGAAAACCTCAGTTGACAGACAGCTTATCCACCCCTCCTCAGTCCCACGGACACTCACGCCCATCATGGCAGCTTGAGAAGACTGCGTCTTCCGGCGTCTGAAGTGATGACCAGGGCCCCCCGTTACCTGGAGCACGTGAGCTTCAGGACACAGGGGAAGAGTCCACAGAGCAGTGTGTTCCTACCCAGTGAGTCCTCACCCCTCATTCGCTCTCCTTACATAAGGACAAGAACTTAATAGGTTTGCTCTGTTTTCTGTTGAGGTTTCCATTTCTCTCCTGATTCACATAACTGAGACCATTTGGCCCAGCCCTGCTGTTTCCAACTCAGCAGAAAAATGTTGACATCGATTTCCAGGATTTTCCCTGAAGGCCAAGGGATCGGTTCTAGTCACAGTGAGCACAGAACATTCTAAACTTGAATTCCAAGGCAGCAAGCTGCCAAGGAGTACAGAACCTTTCCAAGTTCCACTCTGCCAGCACAGGGCTTGATTTACTGAAGGCACGAGCATCAATGAGCAGATTCCCAACACTTCTTTCACAGCAAGCAAACTAGAACTCCACAACCTTAGGTCTGTCCCAAGTTCAAGGGAATGAAGAACTATGGTAACCCAAAGACAGGCAGAGATCTGAGGAGCTGTGATCTAAGGCCACCCCTCTCCTGAACCACCGGGCAGGCTTCCTTCAAGGACCTGCTCAAAGCTTGCTTCTTGAGCAAAATGTGAGCATGTGTGAGGTACTGGGCACCCTATAGGTACATCAGATGGTCCACCTGCGGTGGGGGCATATGCTTAACAGTTCTGCGTGCCAATTAAGTCACTCTAAGTACTAAATTTCAATCACCGCCATCCCAGGAACGCTGATCAGCGGCAGCAGGGTGGCTGTTTGTTGGAAGACACAGAGTGACGTTACCACTCCACCTCGGTATGATTTTGCCAAATAGGCCTATAAATCCCCCACCAAGAATATGGGGGTGTGGGCATAAAGCATTTCTGGGTAGTTGCTCTCTTGATTCAATACAACAGTACACTCAGTAATGAAGTTCAGCTGGGCACAGGCTGCATCTCCCATCCATCTGATGAGGGAATTCAGAGGAGCCCCAGAGAAGGAACATTTTAACCCAGCAGGCAATGGTGTGGAGCCCCTCACGCACACACACACACACACACACACACAGAGAGAAACAGTTTAAGCAATTCTCAGGCAGGTGGGCAGGGAGGTAAAAATCCACTCCCTGCCTCTTCTTGAGGGGCCAGTAAAACGAAATGTCACTGATACACTCAGGCAGTTTATCAATACCACACCCGGAGAGGCATCCTTTCTGGCATTCCAAAGTATATCTGCTTGAATCAATCTAATCTTTCTGTTTTCAGAACGAGAGCAAGAAAGAAGGGCGAACTGCTAACCTTTAGTTATGTCTCCAGTCGATTCCTTGCAATCTCTCTCCCTAGCTTTTTTCCCCTTCTCTGTCTGTATGCATTATTTACCCCCATACTCCTGGATAGTGATGCCTCATTGTATTAGATCTGGTTTGTTGTTTCTTCGCTTTTCTGTCCTGGTTAATTAGCAATACTATTAATAGAATTGGTACCTGTTAAAGGGCCCACCACCCAACCCAATGAGGAAAAGGGGAGAATGCAACCGCCCGCCTATTCTGGTCCCATTGTCTACTATTTTTGTGCATTTTTCCCAAACTTAAAAAAAAAAAAACAGTGAAACTTTTTCATCAAGTGAAATGTTATATGTACTTAAAAATACATAAACAGTAATTTATTTTTATTCATTCGGTAAACAATTTCCATGTATAGATTTAATTCTATGAGCCCAACTGCATAGAATTATAAATCCAATCAATGAGAGCAAGGCTGTTTTGATACACACACGCAAAATGGAATACTCATCAGCATCTCATTTCTTTCTATATCTCATTTCCATTGTATAGTACCAAAATATCCCTGATTCAAAAGAGCAAGTGATGACCATAGGGTAATAGCTTTTTTAGGTTCCTTTTTAAATTTTAGGATACTTTCTTTAAATAGCTATAATCCAACTATCAATGGCTTAACAACCTCCACCTACTCTGGGCCAGGACCTCAGTCAGCACCCAGTTATCTGTGGGTCTTGGCACAAGGGCATGGCTCAGGATTCCCCACCCGGTCTGTCACCATGAGCCATCTGTACTCTTGTTTTGCTGTGGCTCCTTCCTGCCATATCCATTGTTTACAAAGCTACTGGGGGAACGTCACTTGGTCCGTCTGTATGTTGAAGCCAACCCATCAAGCTGTTCTTTTCTTTTTTTTTTTTTTTTAAGATTTTATTTATTTATTTGACAGAGAGAGACACAGCGAGAGAGGGAACACAAGCAGGGGGAGTGGGAGAGGGAGAAGCAGGCTCCCCGCAGAGCAGGGAGCCCGATGCGGGACTCGATCCCAGGACCCTGGGACCATGACCTGAGCCGAAGGCAATCGCTTAACCAACTGAGCCACCCAGGCGCCCTCAAGCTGTTATTTTCACACCATCCATCCCTTAGAAGGTGAGAGAGTGCCAGAAACAGTGCCGGGATCTGTGCAGGGATGAGTGAGGTTCCTTAAGGAAGTGATCACCGGCTTCCTCCTTAGGACTGAGCTAAACTGACACTATCTGGGCTCACCAAACTACTACCCCTTTTCCCAGAGTTTTCCAAAGCTCCTACAGAATAATTCCACCAACTCACCCACCCCAGCCTCTGACCTACCCCTCTGTACGTAGCTGCTAAGAAACCATCACGTTAAAAAAATATATGTGGTATATATACACGTGCACATAAACACAATGTATATGTATCTATGTGGGATGTTGTTCCGCCATTAAAAAAAAATCTTGCCATTTGTATCAATATGGGTGAAACTGGAGGGCATTTTGCCAGGTGAAATAAGCCAGATAGAGAAAAATAAATACTGTACAGTATCACTTACATGCAGAATATAAAACAAACATACAAAAACTGATTTCAAACGGACAGAATATAATGGTGGTTGTTAGGGACTGGGAGGGGAAAGAGAAATGGGGAGATCCATGTGAAAGGATCTGAAGTACAAGGATTCTATGCAGTTGGGCTCAGTTATAAGAAGTTCTGAGGCCTTAATGTACATCAGGGTGACTATAATTAATAATACAATATTGTCTCATTGAGGTTTTGATTTGGATTTCCCTGATGCTGAGTGATGCTGAGCACTTTTTCATGTGTCTGTTGGCCATTTGGATGTCTTCTTTGGAAAAATGTCTGTTCATGTCTTCTGCCCATTTCTTGATTGGATCATTTGTTCTTTGGGTGTTGAGTTTAATAAGTTTTTTATCGATTTTGGATACTAGCCCTTTATCTGATATGTCATTTGCAGGTATCTTCTCGCATTTTGATCTCACTGATATGAGGAATTCTTAATCTCAGGAAACAAACTGAGGGTTGCTGGAGTGGTGGGGAGTGGGAGGGATGGGGTGGCTGGGTGACAGACATTGGGGAGGGTATGTGCTATGGTGAGTGCTTTGAATTGTGTAAGACTGTTGAATCACAGACCTGTATCTCTGAAACAAATAATACATTATATGTTAAAAAAAAAAAAAAGAAGAAGATAGCAGGAAGGGAAAAATGAAGGGGGGGGTGCCGGAGGAGGAGACGAACCATGAGAGACTATAGACTCTAAGAAACAAACTGAGGGTTCTGGGGGGGGATGGGTTAGCCTGGTGATGGGTATTAAAGAGGGCACGTACTGAATGGAACACTGGGTGTTATATGCAAACAATGAATCATGGAACACTACATCAAAAACTAATGATGTAATGTATGGTGATTAACATAATGTAATAAAAATACAAAACAAAACAAAATATATCATAAAAGCAAAAAAAAAATACAATATTGTCCATTTGAAAGTTACTGAGAGTAGATCTTAAGCATTCTCACCAAAAAAACCCAAAAAACAAAAAACAAACACAAAACAAAAATTGAGAGAGAGAGAGAGAGA